TCTCTCTCTCTCTCTCTCTCTCTCTCTCTCTCTCTCTCTCCCCCTCCCCCTCTCTCTCTCTCGCAGGACGAAGAAGAAGAGATGGGAGGAGAAGAAGAAATGTGGAAACCTCTCTGTCTCTCTCTGATGTGAATGATACTGACCGGTGAAATGCACAGCCTTGAGCCGCTGATGCACTACAGGTGTCTCAATGAAGAAGAACAGCTATGGCACCAGGTGAGTGGACTCCTCCGTGCTCACCTCCTCTACCTCCTCTACCTCCTCTACCTCCTCTACAGCGGTACTCTTTATCTCTAACGCCACTGCTACCTCCACCAGCGCCGGTCTGCTCAACTTGGCAGCCTGGTGGATTGCAAATGGCACAAGAACCTACCTCCGAACAACAGGGTCAGCCTCTCCTTAATGGTGCCGGGCCGGCCACCAAAACTCAAATTCACCCTACATCTGGGCCGTCCAATCACACTCAAATCTGGCAGTCCAGATGGGAGGTCGTGTAACGAAAACTCAGGCCCATGCCTGAAAACTTTGGCCTGGGTCCCTTCTCAGGTCCAGGCCCTACCTTGCTGTCTCTCTCATCAAGAGGGACGGGAAGGAAAAATGGACTACCACAAAAAGTCGGACAAGGGTCCAGCGGCCAGCCTCACAACAAGCTGGGCCAGAAAATGTGCAGTGCTGGTCCGGATGAGACAACATCCTGGGCGTTCATCCAGGCCTGGCCCAGGACAAAATAGACTGGCATGAAACAAAACTGCACTGACAGCAACGTAACATGCAGAACCGAAAAATCAGACCATACCTTTCTCGGCCTTTTGGCTAAAAATAGAAATCTGTTCTGATCTGTTTCATATCTGATCCGTGGTCGATTGGACCATTAAAAAAAGAAAAGAGAAAAAAGTTCAAAAAACTTCAAAAAGAAGCAGACTGGACAAATCTGGACTGAGAACAGACAAAATACCCACATGGTTTGACTCAGAACAGAAAATTCTGTAATACCTTTCTCGGCCCTTTGGCTAAGCAAGATCAAGTGTAGTATCTGTTCTGATCAGTTTAATATCTGATCCGTGGTCCATCGGGCCCCATTTCAAAAAAAGAAAAAGAAAAAGAAAGAAAGAAAAAAGAACAGAAAATCCTCCCGCCTGCCCAAATCAAAAGCGGGACAGACAGGGCCGAAAACCTAGCTCAGTTGGTAGAGCACGAAAGTGGCATTCAGGAGGTTGTGGGTTCGATTCATCACGGTCTTCATTCGAGCCGCCGCAGTCTCGTGCGGCTTGCTACGGGGTAGTACGGGCTCACCAGCTGAGTTAGTCAGCTTGCCCCCCCTGGTAGGGTTTACCTTCCCCTCCCATCCATTGTGTGGGGTTAGGAGGAAGCTGCGGGGCTCGCCAATCCATAACTGTTAGGGCCACCCAGCTTGTATGCATAGATAGGCTCCAGCTTTAGACCCTGCACCTTAGACTCTAGTCTTAGACCCTAGATTCCCTTGGTGTGTGGATGGGTCCTTGTTTGTCCAGGTAGGTAGTGCAAGGTACAATACTGAGAGAAATGATAGCATAGTAAAAATGCGGCTGTCCCCCATATGAGGAGAAGACAAGCTTGTGCAAGGAAAATGAGGGGGGGAGAGAGGCAGAAAATTAATCCAAATTACAATATCACGCTGTTGACCATATAGTCCTATACCAAGCGGTAAGCGCAATGCACCGAGATATTTTAGCCAAATAAGAGTGATACAATGGACTCAAATGTCGAATTGATGTCGACACTCTCTCCCCACACCACCATAGTATCCAATGTCGCTCTTCCTTGATTGGCGCAAAGGGCCCAGTCTACTCTACTCAGCCTACGCGAGCCTACATAGTACATACTGAAGGGGGAGTTAAAAGAAGAATGATAAAAATAAATGGTTTCAGTGCCCCTTATGTTTTGTTTTTTTGTTTTTTAAATCCTTGCCTTTTGTTTTGCAAAGTGCGCTCTTTTAGTTCATAGTTATGTGACAATATATGCAACAGGAGTCTCTTCAGGCTGAAGAGCAATGTACGTGACGATGTTGCCAAATTGAATGCAGAAGGCCAGAATGCACCAGGTACGTGCCTCCCTTCTTTCACATCATCCCTCGACTCTGCGCAGTGTGCAGCCCCGACCTCCAAAGACCAGCATCACCATCACCAGCACGCGCTCCTGCAGCCTGGCTATGGCCGCCGTGTGCCTGCTGCCACCGCAGCACCCTTCTGCCCTCTAGCACCTGTGTGGGCCTCTGGACAGGAGCGCTAGGCAGCTGCTCGCTCAACAGTGCAGCAGTGTGGCTGCGATGCCTGCCAAGGCCAGGATGTCCCCTGGATGGGCAGGGCACTTTCCTATATGGAAAGTGCAGCCCTGGTTCTGGCTGCTTGACTCTGGTGTGCGTGCGCACAGTAGCTTCACGGTGGGCCAAAGTGTCTGCACCCAGGCCCAATTCAGACAGTTGCCTGGCCCTGCAGCAGTTAAGCTGCCCAACCGATATTGGCCAATATGCCACGTGGCAGCATTGTGCAGCCTCAGAGAGAGAGAGAGAGAGAGAGAGAGAGAGAGAGAGAGAGAGAGAGAGAGAGAGCTCTGGCCCGTTGCAGCATTGCGCAGTGTTTGGGGGTGTTGGGGAGATGTGTTGGGGAGCGTAGGGGAGGGGTGTTGACAGGAGGGGTGATGAGGGGTGTTGAGGGCTGCAGGGGAAGGATGTCCGAGGGTTGTAGGGGTGTGGGTTTTTTTTTTTTTTTTTTTCTGTCTTTTTCGGTGCGGGGGGACTTCAGCCTCATCATCCGCAACCCCCCACCACCCGTGCGTTTTTCGGAATCTGATTCGACGGAACAGAAAGGGGGTCGAACGGGGTTAGAACGGGGGTAGGGGGGGTAGAGCGGCGCTGTAACGGTGTCCCCTTGCTGGGTCCTCTCTAGTGCCCCGGTGTACACACCCGACTCTCCCCTCTATTCGACCAGGTCTCGGCGACACTCCATCCCCGTGGCTCCTAGCTCAGCCACTTTCCCCCTTTCGGACCCGTTGCCCGCCTCCTCCCGTCGGGTCCGTTTTCCCTTTGAGCGGGGCTCCTGACCGGTTCGCGCCAGGACGTCCGACCCGCGTCGGAGCAGCGTCCTTCTGGCTTTCTTTCCGGGGTCCAAGTTTTTGATCAGCCTAGACTCTCGACTCGATGATCCCGGAAGTCGGCCTGACGATGAGGCTGACACACTCGGTGACTTGCGGATTTTCCCAAGCAACGGAACTCTAGAGCCCCCTTTCTTAAGAGGAACCTCGCGGAGCTGGCTGGCCCGGACGGCTAATAACAACATAGACGGATAATGGCCTGACAATAGTTTGTAACGGAACCTAGTGAACCAGGCGGGTAACGACCTGGCACCAGTGCGATTGTGAAGAGAGCACGAGCTGATCACGTCTCGACCGCGGTACGATTTTGCGCCGACCACCAGAACCTTCCGAGGGCGAGCTCGGCACAAATGGATGGCTCACTCGCCGATGACCAGGGGCCAGAGCGGAACACATCCAGACAATGACCTGACTGCGGTTCGCGCCGAGGACCCGAGCACAAGCAGACTGGCCCAATGCCAGTCCGACGATCCACAGACAACCGGATCTTTCCGGGAGAGGCACAACACAATCGGATAGGGAGCTAGTGGTAGATTGGTTTAGAGCGACCTGATAATGATCCAATTGCAGTCCGGTCAACCAGAGCACTGCGCGATCGGATAGTGAGCTAACGGATAATGACCCAACAGCAGCTCGATATATCATCAACAACCAGGGGTATTCGAAGCAAGCACGACATAAGCAGATGGCGAGCTTACAGCAGAGTGATCCTGCATAACCAGACGATGTCCCCTCGGCAGTTCGACTAATCATCGATAACCAGAGCTTTCTGAGGCAAGCACAACATAGTCAGGTAGCGAGCTTACAGTAGAGAGATTCTTCATGACCAGACAAAGACTCGACAACAGCTCGACTTATCATCGATAACCAGAGCTTTCTGCGGCAAGCACGACATAGTCAGGTAGAGAGCTTACAGTAGAGAGATTCTTCATGACCGGACAATGACTCGACAACAGCTCGACTTATCATCGATAACCAGAACTTTTCCAAAGCAAGTACTGCGCGAAT